TTAAATCGTCAAAGACAGATCAATTATCTGGTTGTTTTAATTTTAGTATCTTTTTTGTCAATAACTGTGTTTGCTAAGTAACATGTGTTCTTCACTTTGTAACAGCTCGATGTCAAATGCATGCCTTTAACACTGGCTTAATGTATTGTTACCTCTTCATCGTCAAATGTACCCTGCGTTATCTGACTTGGTTTTGATGAGTAGCTTTTATTGTATTGGGTCAGCAACATCATTGGAACCTGTTCATATCTCAAACGGTACGTCTTCCACTCACTGACTATAAGTGACTAATACACCACTTGAAACATGCACGTTTTCTACCCTGGGTCACACATACCCAACCATGTAACTAACTTTTTCACAACCATCCAAGTGGTATATGATATTTCCTCTAGGTACCAAGTTCGACACTTTCTTTGGGTTAGAAAAACATTCAACTAGACCGCGTGCAGATTACAATGGTTACCAACCCTTGTTTCAAATGCCATACCCCCGGGGCATACATTCATAGCTCTCTCGTTTTGCAAAAAGACCTTAACCGCCCAAATTTCAGTGGTCGAATATCTCTTTTCTGGGTCGGACGATAATCCGTAGCCCACCTGTTTTCGTTGTTGAATATGCTATTTTTTTACCTCCTGGGTGTAGGTTTTTGAGCAAGTGGGCCTTTTTTTAATTACTATTCTTTGCTTGTGGCCAATTTACATTTCTTCAACCAACCAACCAGCCAACAAGGTGAAAAGTCGTTAATAGGTCTAATCAAACACACGAGGAAATTGAGCCCGCTATCTTATGACCATTTCTTCAAAATATTTGACACAGTGTTTCTGTTGATATTAACTTATGGGTCTGAAATTTTGGGTCACCACTGTTATGAATCAATAGAAAGAGTACAATATTTTGCTTGTAGAATATTTTTAGGCGTCTTCCAAAATGCTCCAAACTGTGCAGTACCGGGAGATTGTGGGCGTTACAAAATTATTATACTAACAGCCAAGAGATGTGTCAAGTATTCGGCCAAATTATTACGCATGCCAAGAACAAGGTACCCTAGTAAATGTTACTTCATGCTGTGCCACTTACAGATTTCTCAGTCAAGAACTAGGTCACTTATGTTATTATAATCGTGCAATATGCAAGAGGTTTAGGATGCACGGGACGTCTCAAATATTGATTTATTTATTAAGATCTTCGCTTCTAGATTAAATATCGCTTGGAAATGGATTGGCATGGTAATATTTCAACTATTGATAAACTAGAAAACTATCGAAATTTCAAAATTCGTTTTGAACACGAACGATATTTATTTTTTTAAATAGCAGACAAATACCATTTACTATTAATTTGTAAATTTCTTGAGGTTATTAAGGAAAATACATTTAAAGATACTATTTTACATTGCCTTCATATAATAGTTTGTGGAATTGGTAAAGACGTTTGATAGTAACATACTACATTCCATGAAAGCTTATTTCTATCATTCCTTAAAACTTGAGATATGAAATTCACAAAAACATTGAGTGACGTTACAGCATATTTTATTTATTTTTTGTTTATGCAACCTATATTTTTGGGTCACAGGCCTTAAACTACAATATATAGATCATTCATAACCTTTTGCACACGTCACCTTTCTTTCAGCACTCCATTCATGTGTTCTTTTCTACGCATATTTTCCCTTTTAGCTAATTACCACTATCCCCCGTTTTCTACTCTTCCTTTCTTACATCCGAATACTGTCACCCCGTCGCATAGTCATTAGATCTATTAATCTTGGCTTCAGGTCTTCTTCATCCAGTGGTGTACCTCATGCCACATTGCATGATGAGAGGGGTTAGGAGCTGGCCCAATAATTTTGTATTATGATACACTGATTTAATTTTAATAAAACCCCAAAACTAATGCGAGAACAGGCGAAAACTAATGCGCGCGCGGATGTCATCCATAAAATTAAGTCGGTGTGGCCTTATAAATACATTTATGTTCATGGCAATTATAAATTCACGATTAATTAGTCTTGCAAACGTGTCTCTGAACGCTGCCCAGATGTAAAACAACTTAAAACTAAACTATAAAGAATGGCATTGTATGGCGAACTTGCCACTAGGGTCCTGGAAACGAGATGTCATGCTCAATGACATAGAGAAACTCGAAATGTCTCTGGAATCGGCAAAAATTCAGATTGCACTGTACGTACTTAATGCATTACCCAAGTGTATATAGTTGACTTTGCCATGAATGTACCATGACAACTGTGTTGTACTATTATTGTTTATTCGCAATGGACAGGGCTTGGTTATTAGATATTGGTTCAGCTTATGACGAAGATGTGCATTTCATTTCAAAAATATGAATAATTACTTAATATACTGTAGCTGCATGCGTGTTGTAGCCTGCTAATCAATTATGCTTGACAAAACAGCAATACACCGATTTCGCCGAATATGTAAAAATATGCGTCTTTTGTTACGATAGGTTGAGTTTGTAATACCTTTAAGACTGTGATATCCGACTGTTTTAACATATGCAGAGAGTCTGGTGGTTTAGGCTCAGATCAGTAAACAAATAAACATAATATTCAGTTTTGAATGAATGATTGATTGATTGACTGATTGACGGAAAAACTCTGTCCTTGATCTTACCTTATGAAAAAGATGTTTTAAATTGACATTTTAGCAGATAATCAAGATGAACATTTTCACGCTATTTTTTACAGTAAAAATCACGAGCATTGCATGAATGAAAACACAACAATCACCATCAGCTAAAATATCCAGCTCTCAGAATAAATTCATCACAATTTGTGTTTTCAAATGCGTTACAAAAATTTCTAATTATTCATGACTCCATTAAATCCCACCATATTGTCACCATGTGGGGCGGATGTAATATACAGTATCCAACAAAATGAGAAATGTTCCTGACGCTTATTATAAAACCATATTACAGCCTTTCAATCACCGTGACGCCTAAATTAGAGATTTTACGCTGAACGGATGTTACTTGCGCGGTTGGTTGTAATCTATGTTAGATTGAAACCAGTCATATGGTCTGTTTTATGATATTCCTAACCCTGAGTTTTGAATGGAGTTCCCTATGAGTAACTTCAACACAAAGCGCTATTTGTACCAATACTTGAGCGTATCCCAAATAACAGTCTTCTCGTTCAATTCGTCACGTAAAGAGGACTTTGCTGTCACGAATGCAGAGGTGATGTTTAAAAGTTTTTAATTGGGCATTTAATTGGGGGGGGGTCATGGTCCCCCGGGAAACTTGAAATCTAGACCCTCTGAAACTCAGTTTCCTGCATTTTGGGGAGCAAATTTTGATGGTACACTTTGGTATATTTCTCTTACGTTTTCTGTAGATGTGTGTGTGAGTGTCGGAAGGGCCGCACGGTGTGTATTTCTACCGACATTTGCGGTGGATTTTAGTGACAAATATAGATGAGTGTTTCACCTTATTTTATCGTGGGGGCGACGCCCGCACGACCTATTTTTCGTGAGGGTGCCTATTTTTCGTGAGGGCGAGGGCGAGTACCATTGCTATACGAAATGTCTGCGTAAGTAAATTAACATTGTTTAAGTTTAAACTATGTCTTGTAACTTCGGCAAAGACGTATGGATAAGTTCTCGTTTCTGTCCACGGTAACTCCAACCGAAGCGAATAGTCGTTCAAAATGTGTTTTGATGACTTAGTATCGTGGTAAGTTTGGTTCAATTTGAATAAATATTTGCAGGATTTTGGGGGGTTTACCAGATACACACAAATTGCATAAACATATACGACAGTCGTCATCAGTTTTCTTTGATGCGACAAAATACCGCAAACCAAATCCACCGGTCTGCAGATGAGAAAACATCCCACTGCCGATAAAGGAGCCAGTTAATGACAATTTACTCAAACAAGGGAAAGACTCCAGTTTCCAGCTTTTTACCGTCACAATAATCTCAACAAAACTAGTTATTGTACATTGATTTACTGTGACTTCGAAAATGTAATATCAAAAAACTGCAAACGTATAAATGATTCTGTGGCGTTGGAATCACCCGCCAATTGACAAATATGGGCATGCAATATATTATTCAAGTGGGTGACCTTTGAAGCTGATAACATGTTTTACATGATTTAGTGTTTTTTTCAAAAGCCAAAAGTCGAGATGGGCAAATTTATTATGGGCGGAACAGGAATCGAATAGCAGTTGTACTGGATAAGGCTGGGGGGGGGGAGGGGTATTTCAGAGAGTGCATTGTGGAGCAGCAAGAATAATAATTGTTTATTATTATACATCTGTCACCGTAACGCCATATGTTTACAGCGTGTCGTAATTTTGCGATATTTTACAGGGTATTTTCATCCCATCATACTAGGAAATGTGAATTCCAAATGTGGAATGATTACGCGCGTAAGCGTCCTCTAATAATAAAAACAAACATGGCTGCCACCAGAGTTTGACCGGACTCCACACAAATTCATTCGTTGATTCTGTTCTACACACGCAAGGGCGGTATACACGAGTGTAAGGGTCATTCAAACACTGTCAGCTCCAACCATAACAAACTCAGGCAACCATAACAGTCTGTGTGACTTGCGGTCAATACAACAACTAACATGGAGGAAGAACAGTATGCTGAAGCAAACGAGCTCATCGCATCGAACGACAGCGTAATGAGCGGAGAAGCATACGAAATGGGAAGTGACAGCTTTGCAAATTAAAATAGTTACGGTAAGAATACAAATAGGAGGATAATTGTAATAAATTAATATTCACTTGATGTGTAATATTAGTATGTCAAATGGTTCATTGTTTCTGTCGCAACAAAACATATTTGTTGTTTTCAATATCAAAACTCTGAAGTAATATTTATTTTTAGATCCGACAAGTTATTTGTGTTACAGGGGGATTGGGTCAGTTATCACATAATAAAGAGCCACGCCCACTTACATCCTAAATGTAATACAGTGGACTGTTTATTATTACAATGCAATAATTAAACTAGATATGAATGATAATACTTGACATTTAATATTGATGACAACTACTACGAGTACATTTTACGGTGTCAATATTAGTGTTAACAATTTGTTTAGTGTTTAGAACACATAAATAAACGAGTAGTACTAGTAGTAAAAAGTCCCTTTAATCGCGTTTCAACCAAAAAATGCATATTGACTAATTGGAAGTCAACTTCACTGGTTTTTCCGTAAATGTCAACACTTCAGTTACAAATCATCATAGTCGGGCACTGAGAAGAGAAATCAACATACATATCACGTGATAATGGTTAGAGTAATTAATTACTATTGTTTAATATATGTTTATAATTAAAAAAAAAATTATAAAAAATCACAATTCAATATTTCAGTATACGCACGATAAAATTATAATACTAATAATTTATGTAATTAAGTTTAGTGAAATTAGATCAACGGGCACTATTCACTAATCCTTCTCATGATATGTAAACAACTCCGTGTACAAATTTAGCCCAAACTATTAACACAAACTAGAAAAAAACTTCTCTCTAAAAAAATATTAGTGGCAACAATTATTGAAAGAAAGAAACGAGAACTTGAAGGAATGGGACGGTACTTTTTAGCGGGAAAAATTCTGGTAATAAATGTTTAATCGTTCACTCACTGGGCACGCAACACATGACCTCTACATCTGCGATTGGTAGTTTCCTACAGTCGACATTGCATTCAATTTTGGACGATTTCACCTCGTTTTTCCCACATCCTGCAATCTGACATTTTCCACCGCATTCTTCTTTACACAAGTTTCCGCCAAATCCATCACCACCTTATTACGTAATGAAAAAAAAGAGTACGACATATAAAATGCGATCTCACTCAAACGATTTTTCTCTTCAGGTTAGTTAGCCATGTAGCTATTATTTTACTCTGAAATTGTGTTTTTTAAACTAAAATTACATCGCGCAGTCGCCAAGGTGCATTGTGGGTGAACACTACAACTCAATATTTATTTAGACTTTTCTATCAGTGACAATTTCGTAAAACAGACAATCAAATGTTTGACATACTGCAACAAGTCATGTCAGGATCCGGACATCCGCACTCGGTCGAGGGTGTGAAATGCTT